AAATAGTGCTTCAGGTTAAGAACTCTGCTTAAGGATGAGAATAGAAATTGTGCTCTGGCGGCATGGCAGCAGCAGGAGGCCCCATTAGCTAAAGTGATACCTCAGGTTAAGAACAGTTTCAGGTTAAGAACAGCCCTCCAGAACGAATTAAGTACTTAACCTGAGGTACCACTGTACATAGGATAAGGTAAAATAGGGAAATCAGTAGAATGGAAATAAACCTCATAATGGGAAATTAAAAGAAACTTTGGATGTTAATGATAATTAAAATGTAAAATACAATTAAGGTAACTAATTGTATCTGTAAATGAATATAGACAAACAACAAGACGTATATATGCAGAAAGATTTATTTGTATATAGACACTGTACGGATAAAGTTGAAAGAAGAACAACAATATACAAAATCGATAAAGACAATGCGAAAAACTTAGAGATGAGGAGTAAATGTAATGTGTATATGTGTAGTATGTTATAATAAAACCAATAAAGATTATCTTCAAAAAGAAAAGAAAAGAAAGAGGGGTATGACTCTCATCTCTTTGCAGGAAGCGACATTTTAGCCACGCTAAAGCTGGGTTTCAGCACCAAACCAGCTCAACCCTCTCCACCCAAGCAAGCAGTTCAAGGACACATTTTCATGAGAGTTGGCATCCCGTTATAAAACACTTTACTGATATAACCCTGAAGAATGGCCATCAAAACCACAGATTGGACTTTTTTTTTTTTTTGGCAAACTTAACTAGATTAAGCTGTCTTGGAGGGGGAAGGAGGGATTTCATTTTTGCCCCTTTTTCCTTTTGTTGTAATTGTTATATATTGCAAATTAATAAACCATTTTTATTTATTTTATTTTTTTGTAAAAAGGACACATCCCAGCCAGGCCAAAGCCCTCAAGGAGGGGGTGGTATGTGCCCTGGAGTCACTCCCAAGGCGATATCCGCAAGGCAAGGAGGCCTGAAGTTCCCCACAAAGGGAGTCCTCCATCCCCAGCTGTTTGGTCCAAGCATCTGACACCCGAAGAGATATACTGCCACTAAACTTGGAGGTTCCATTGAGCCGTCACATTTGCTTTGCAAGCTTGTCCAATCCATTTGAAAAGCCACCAGAGGCCATTGTGGCTTCTCAGGGCAACGAGTAATAATAATAATAATAATAATAATAATAATAACAATAACAATAATAATAATTTATTATTTATACCCCACCTATCTGGCTGGGTTTCCCCAGCCACTCTGGACGGCTTCCAACAGAACACTAAAATACAATAATCTATTAAATTTTAAAAGCTTCCCTAAACAGGGCCGCCTTCAGATGTCTTCTAAAAGTTTGGTAGTTATTTTTCTCTTTGACATCTGGTGGGAGGGTGTTCCACAGGGTGGGTGCCATTACCGAGAAGGCCCTCTGCCTGGTTCCCTTGGCTTCTTGTAGCGAGGGAACCACCAGAAGGCCCTCGGCGCTGGATCTCAGTGTCCGGGCAGAACGATGGAGGTGGAGATGCTCCTTCAGGTATACTGGACCGAGGCCGTTTAGGGTTTTAAAGGTCAGCACCAGCACTTTGAATTTTGCTCGGAAACATACTGCGAGCCAATGTAGGTCTTTCAAGACTGGTGTTATATGGTCTCGGCGGCCACTCCCAGTCACCAGTCTGGCTGCCGCATTCTGGATTAGTTGCAGTTTCCGGGTCACCTTCAAAGGTAGCCCCACATAGAGCGCATTGCAGTAGTCCAAGCAGGAGATAACCAGAGCATGCGCCACTCTGGTGAGACAGTCTGCGGGCAGGGAGGGTCTCAGCCTGCGTACCAGATGGGGCTGGGAGACAGCTGCCCTGGACACAGATTTGACCTGTGCCTCCATGAATAGATGTGAGTCCAAAATGACTCCCAGGCTGCGCACCTGGTCCTTCAGGGGCACAGTTACCCCATTCAGGATCAGGGAGTTCTCCACATCTGCCCGCCCCCTGTCCCCCCAAAACAGTACTTCTGTCTTGTCAGGATTCAACCTCAATCTGTTAGCCACCATCCATCCTCCAACCGCCTCCAGACACTCACGCAGGAGCTCCACAAGGCAGTTATGAATGAGTCATTTTCAACCAGAACATCTCTCTATCTGCTGAATTCCGTCGCACTCTGGACAGAGCAGTCCAAGAATTCTGCCTGCCTCTCTGGGCAGATCCCCTTGCCAGAGGGTTTCTGGCATCCCCCCTGCCTGTTTTCCTCCAGCGAGGTTGATTTGCCACGCTCATGCCTTACATGGTCAAAACGGCCTTCGGGGAAACATAGGAATTTTGGGTCCTGACGTCAGCCCCGCAGCCAGGGTTTTGGGTAAAGTGCAGAAGGAGGCTAGAAGTGGGTGGGGAGAGGAATGGGGTGGGGGAGGCATTAGCCCAAGAGCAGGAGCTGCAGGCACATTTCACATTCGCTTGGGGGGCAGACCTGGACGCCCCTCCCTCCCTCCCCTTCATTCCAGGGATTCACCTGCAGGAAAGGAAGCAGGCCAGGTAAGGTGTGGTGCCAGAAGATGCTGGCGAGGTAGGAGATTTTAATGGGGGGGGGACTAAGAACGGTGGGATGTAGTCATTCAGAGTGGAAAAGTAGGAGAGGAAAAGGAAGAAGGAGGAAAGCAGGGACGAGGAAGGAGGCGAGACAAAGATGGAGTGGTCCATGGCAGGTGAATGAATGAGAATGAGAGGCAGGGTGGTGTAGTGGTTAGAGTGTAGGACTAGGACCTGGGGGACCAGGGTTTGAATGCCCCCACCCTTGGGGTACCAGCTGCTGCCTCTCTCAGCATGGCCTACCTCGCAGGGAGACCCCTGGAAGAAAGCTGTTATGTTTCTAGGCAATGCTTTGAACAGCTGCCGAGACACAATACAGTGGTACCTCAGGTTAAGTACTTAATTCGTTCCGGAGGTCTGTTCTTAACCTGAAACTGTTCTTAACCTGAAGCACCACTTTAGCTAATGGGGCCTCCCACTGCCGCCGCACCGCCAGAGCACGATTTCTGTTCTCATCCTGAAGCAAAGTTCTTAACCGAAAGTAATATTTCAGGGTTAGCGGAGTCTGTAACCTGAAGCGTATGTAACCCGAGGTACCACTGTATTTGATCATGTCCACAGTCTGGTGGTATTGCTTTAGTGGCAAAGCTAGAGAAGTCCCTGTCCCCAGGAAACTTACAATCTAAAGTGAGACAGCAGGCAGCCCAATGGAGACGAGGGAAGCAAATGTTCAGAGGGGCGAATGAGTTTTGTTGCGTTCTGTATCATTAGACGGGGATAAGGACCGGGGTGATGATGTGAAGGCTTCATGAGCCAGGCTTCACTGCATTTTTGTGCCAGTCGCAGCCTCTCAGCTGATCCTACCTCACAGGGTTGTTGTGGGGAGCAACTGAGGAGTGGGAGACCCATGGACGCCATTTTGATATCTTGGAGAGGAAGGTGAAGACATAAACGCTATATACCGTATTTTTCGCTCTATAAGACGCACCAGACCACAAGACGCACCTAGTTTTTGGAGGAGGAAAACAAGAAAAAAAATATTCTGAATCTCAGAAGCCAGAACAGCAAGAGGGATTGCTGCGCAGTGAAAGCAGCAATCCCTCTTGCTGTTCTGGCTTCTGGGATAGCTGCGCAGCCTGCATTCGCTCCATAAGACACACACACATTTCCCCTTACTTTTTAGGAGGGAAAAAGGGAGTCTCATAGAGCAAAAAATACGGTAAACAATACTACGCAAGCGACTCGGTCTCGATAGCTCAGCAGGTCAGAGCGTGGGGCCGATAACGGCAAGGTTACAGGTTTGATCCCCGTATGGGGCAGCTGCAATTCCCGTATTGCAGGGGGTTGGACTAGATGATCCTCAGGGTCCCTTCCAACTCGACAATTCTAGGGTTCTATGAACACAGTAAAGGCAGAATGTCATCTGGTCTCCGTTGTAAGCATCGCGCAAGCAAACCGGGATGGAGGTTGGCGACCGTGAGAACAGGGTGCTGGACTAGTAGGGCTGCTGGCCTGATCCAGCCAGGCTCTTCTTATGAGAAGGGAGACCAAGGAAGAGGAAATGAGCAAAAGGAAACTGGGAGAAAAGCAGAGCATGGCAAAAAGCAGGCTGGATTTTGAAAGTGGGGAAGAGAAGAAAGCAGGGAGCAGAAGGAGAGAGAGATAAGGGGAGGGCAGAGCAGGGCAGCACACCGCCATAACTCAGGCATGTGCTAGCTAAGTAGAACCTCCATGCATAGGCACAGTCTACCTGCCACAGTCCCAGAAGGCTGGGAGTGGTGTGGTCTTCCCTAGAGTAGAGGCACCTGCCTCCCAAACACCTTGGGAAGTGCAAGGCTTGGGTGGGGTGACCCCTTCTTTGGTCCTACCCGGCAGGGCTCATTGCCGGGTGTAATGGGGCTGGACTGAGCGCAGAAGGCGAGGGAGCAGTAACACACACCCCCACACAAAAGAGGCTCTGTTCTTTGTAACAGGCAGGAATGCGAAGGGCGAAGCCTCTGCTTGATGCGAGCCAGCCGTTTTCTCCCCAGGGGAAGTAAAAGTGGCAGGAGAAGTGGGGCGAGGAGCTGGGTTGGGGGCTGGGGTCGGGCGCCCCCTTCCCCCTCGGCCCCAGCTTGCAGGGAGAAATGGGGCCGGGGTTCGCAAAACACCCGACCCCCCAGGCCCTTTCCAGAAGCTCTGTTCAGCGGCTTCAACCACGCTGGCCTCTCCAGCGACCTGGTTGAAACCCCGGAGATGTAGTGCGGGAAATATTGAGCTGGATGCAGCTTCCTCCGTTGCAACAGGCAGGAATCCCACCGGTCGAGCGTTCCCCGGCGGCGGGGAGGCAGGAATAGGGACCGCGGAGGCTGCATCCCTCCATCCTTCCAGCCTCCTCCTGCGCTCGGCGGCGGCGGCGGGCGGAGCGAAGCGAAGCGTCCGCGGGGCGGAGGCTGCTGTGCCGTCCGGGCTGCGCTGGGCTGGCTCGTCCGCCGGCTCCTCCTCCTCCTCCTCCTCCGCTGCCTCTTCCTCCGCCGCCGCCCGAGGCTCCCTCCCTGGGCCCGGCGCCGTCCGCTGCCCGCCCGCGCAACGCTCCGCTCCGCCCGGCGCAGGTACGCCAAGCTGCCGCGCCTCGCGGGCGCCGCGATCGCCGTCGAGGGCGCAGCAGCGCCCGCTTGGGCTGCTCTCCCTGCGGGGCCGCGGACGCGAGTGGGGGGGGGAAGGGAAGGGGTGGGGTGGGGGTTCCCAAAGCCGTGCGCGCCCCCTCCCACTTCCCCCTTTCTCCGTCTGCGTGGGGATTTTGGGGAGGGGGAAAGCTTGGGCGCTCCACCCCCCGGAAGGAGGATCCGGGAGGGGGAGTAAAAGGAGTTGGGGGAGGGAGGAAACATGGGGCACCGCCCCCAAGGAGGATTTGGGAGGGAGGCTAAGAGAGTGGGGGGAGGACTTGGGCAGACACCCCCTAGAAGGAAGATCTAGGAGGAGTTAGCGGAGTTGTTTTGGGGAGGGACTTTGGGCACCCCAAGGAGAGTCTGGGGACGGAAGGGAGTTGTTTTGGGGAAGATATGGGGCAGCCAGGGGGATTTGGGAGGGGGTGTGGTGTTAAGGGAATGCAGGAGGGGACCTGGGACAGCCCCCCCATAAGGAGGACGTGGGAGGGGGAATTAAGGGAGTGGGGAGTCACTTAGGGGAGTCCCCCCTCAAAGGAGGACGAAGGAAGGTGAGTTAAGGGAGGAAATATGGGCACTGGGAGTTAAGGTGCTTAGGGGTTGTCAGCCCTTTTGGGGTCCGGGGAGGGGGCGCCCAAAAAAGTCATGGGGGGCTGCGGTGGCTGCTGGCCCCCTTTGCAAGAGAATGTGGGCTCCTGGCTCAAGGAAGTGACCTAGCTTTGTGGCTGAGCACTCGCCTTTTTCAACTTTCAACTTTCCCAAATGAAGGATGCTGAAAAGTTGTATCGCGACATATATTGTTGCAGCTTGAGTTATAAAAGTTGTTACATCAGTTGTTTTATTTGTTTGTTTGTTATTGCTATTATTTAGCATTACCCGGCATTTTCAGAAGGCAAAATTAAAATTCTCTGGTTTTCCCCCCCGAAAGCAGCTGATGTGCTTCCTCACCAGACGTAAGCTTGCGAAGCTAAATGTTGCCCGGTTGCAAAAATAACAGCATATTTGAGTTCATCCCACCCAAAAATGTATTTTAAAGAAATTGGCAAAAGTTAAGTTTATTCCCCTAAACATGATACGCCTTGAGTGAAGAAGGCCCAGGTTGGACTGGGAAAGACCCCTAGATTGCAACCCTTATTTATTCCTAGAATCATAGAACTCTATGATTCTATGAGTTGCAAGGGACCCCAGGGGGTCATCCATTCTGACCCCCCTGCACTGCAGGAATCTCAGCTCAAGCATCCATGACAGATGGCCACCCAACCTCTGCATAAAAATGTCCAAGGAAGGAGAGTCCACCATGTCTCAAGGGAGACAGTTCCACTGCCCGACAGTTCTTACTGTCAGAAAGTTCTTCTGAATGTTTAGTCGGAATCTCCTTTATTGTAACTTGAAGCCATGGGTTCGAGTCCTACCCTTCCAGAGCGGGAAAATACAAGCACACTCCCTCTTCCCTGTGACAGCCCTTGAGATATTTGATTTGTATACCGCCCTTTTATCCAAAGATGTACAACATGAAGAACATAAATTTATGGATCATCATCATAAAAACTGTAGAATTGTAGAACTCCCTTCAGTGCAGGAATATTTCTCTGTGGGGATTGAACCCACAACCTTGACATGATCAGCCCCACAACGGAGCTAACTTCCTTGCCAATAATAATAATAATAATATTTTATTTATATCCCACCCTCCCCAGCCAAAGCTGGGCTCAGAGCGGCTAACAACAGTAAAAATAGCACCGTTTACATAAAATCACAGTCAATTAATTGAAACACATTCTAAAATCAATTCAGAATCAAATTAATGGCAACCATTGGGCTAGAGTTCTATGAGGACTACAGGAGGAGAGAGGGGGTCAGACTTTGCCTTGGCCAAAGGCCTGGTGGAACAGCTCCGTCTTGCAGGCCCTGCGGAAAGATGTCAAGTCCCGCAGGGCCCTACTCAGACAATAATAGTAATAGCATAATAAAAATAATCATCATAATAACAGTCCCCTCAGTCATAACTTTAAAAGGACATAGATCATTTATAGGCCAAAGTCCTGGAGAAAGAGGATTTCCCCCCGCTTGGTGCCTAAAGACATGTAATGATGGCAACCAGGCGAGCCTCTGGGGAGAGCATTCCACAGTCAGGGAGCCACCACAGAGAAGGCCCTTTCTTAGGTGGCCACCGTCTGAACCTCTTGAGATTGGGGGGGGGGGCATAGAGAAGGGCCACTGATGACAAGCGCCGGGTCTGGGTTGGTTCGTATGGGGAGAGGCGGTCCTTGAGATAATGTGGTCCTGAGCCACGTAAGGCTTTATAGGCCAGCACTGGAAACTAGCCAAATAGCCAGAAAACATTATTATCATGGCTGTGAAGGTTATTGTGATTACTGGGTCATGCATTCAGAATAGATGATGCTGAACTTGCTAAGCCCGTGGAGGTCTGGCTCAGCCAAAGGGCCGTGGTTCAGTGGCAGGACATCTGCTTGGCTTGCAGAAGGTTCGTTCCCTGCTGGAATCTCCAGGTTGGGCTGAGAGAAAGGCTCTGCCTAAAATAATAATAATAATAATAATAATAATAATAATAATAATAATACAGTGGTACCTCAGGTTACAGACGCTTCAGGTTACAGACGCTTCAGATTACAGACTCCGCTAACCGAGAAATAGTGCTTCAGGTTAAGAACTTTGCTTCAGGTTGAGAACAGAAATTGTGCTCTGGCGGCGCGGCAGCAGCAGGAGGCCCCATTAGCTAAAGTGGTGCTTCAGGTTAAGAACAGTTTCAGGTTAAGTATGGACCTTCGGAACGAATTAAGTACTTAACCCGAGGTACCACTGTAATTATTATTATTATTATTATTATTATTATTATTATTATTATTATTATTTATACCCCGCCCATCTGGCTGGGTTTCCCCAGCCACTCTGGGCGGCTTCCAACAGAATATTAAAATGCAACAGTCTATTAAACATTAAAAGCTTCAGATATCTTCTAAAAGTCTGGTAGCTGTTCTTCTCTTTGACATCTGGTGGGAGGGCGTTCCACAGGGCGGGCACCACTACCAAGAAGGCCCTCTGCCTGGTTCCCTGTAACTTGGCTTCTTGCAGTGAGGGAACCACCAGAAGGCCCTCGGAGCTGGACCTCAGTGTCCGGGCAGAACGATGGGGGTGGAGACGCTCCTTCAGGTATACTGGACCGAGGCCGTTTAGGACAGCTGCTGCCCATTGGTGTATACAATACTGAGCTGGGTGAACTGATGGTTTGAGGCATATCCTCACCTGCGCAGAGTCAGGAGCAGAGACTGCCTTTCTCCTGGTTGCTGGGAGCAAATTGCAAAGAGGCTTGTGTTCATAAAAAGGCCTTCCTTTGCCTTCTCCTCTTCCCAGGCCTCGGCGGGTCGTGTTGGAGAAATGGGCCTGTGATAGCTCGGTTGGTAGAGCACGCGACTCTTAACCTCAGGTTCGTGGGTTTGAGCCCCATGTTGGGTAAAAGATTTCTGCACTGCTCTGGGTTGGACTAGATGACCCCTGTGGTCCCTTCCAACTCTCCAACTCTGCGATTTCTATGAACACGTGGCTGAGCATTTCCTTTTCTTCATTTAGTAAATCGTATGTGCCACTGAACTGATGAAAGCCTCCAAGCGGTTCCTTTGCTTATTCTGATTTATTGCGTCTCTATCCCACCTTCTTGTCCAAGAAGCTCAAGGCAAACATACGTATTTTCCCCACAAACAACAACCCTGTGAGGTAGGATGGCTGAGAGAAGGCCGTGACCGGTCTCCCACCTAGTGTACTTCTTGGCTGAGTGGGGATTTGAACCCAGGTCTCAGCCTGACAACTGCAGCACACTGCCATCCGGTTTACACAGGAGGATACAAAATGTTTGTTAAACACTCCAACCCCAAACGTTGTCAAAACAGAGGAGGTGTAAAAATAAATAAATATTGAAATATAAACCTGATCAGCAGCTTAGGAAAAAAAATATGCATGTACTGTAACAGAATGGCATGTTAAAGTTATGTGTCTGGGTTAGCTTGCCTAAATTAAATACATAAATACATAAATAGATAAATTATTTTGTCAGGCGCTGGAAAAAAATCTGCACACGTGTGTAGCAATCTTTCAGCTGGGAACCTTTCACTCTTTGCCGCAAGCACAGAACTCTTCACAGAACTCTAGCCCAATGGTTGCCATCAATTTGATTTGAACTGATTTTATAATGAATTGATTTTAGAATGCTGTATTATTTTATTGTTGTTAGCCGCTCTGAGCCCGGCTTCGGCTGGGGAGGGCGGGATATAAATAAATTATTATTATTATTATTATTATTATTATTATTATTATTATTGAATTGGAAAGGGATCCCCAGGTGTAATCTAGCCCAACCCGCTTGCGAGGCAGCCACAACTTAAGCTCATATCTGTGTAAAGGGTGTGATGGTGTGTGTGTGTGTGATATTGCCCCTATCTGAGTTTAAGGGGTGTTTTTTTTCTGCATAGACTTGTGACCTCAAGGGCTCAAGAGACCTGCTTTTTGGGGTTTGTGGTGCGCTACCCAAGACTGCATAGCCACAAACGGAGGAGTTTGCAAGGAGCTTGGGGGGGGCATCAGTTGTGGTGATCACAGTTGTAGAGTTTGAAAGGTGCAGAAATCCTCGTGAGGCCTGTGCAGGCCTGGCTTATGGATGATGCCAGGTGTGCAGATCGCAGGTGAGCGATGCTTTCTGTAGGGTGGGGTGTGTGTGCAAAGGAAAGGTTGTGGGCTCTCCATCTATTTGTGGCTGGAGAAGGACAACGGTTTGGTTTTTTCCGTTGCCTGTGGCGATCTCTCTCATTTCGACTGTGCCTATGTCTTTCCTGGCCGACCAGTTTGGTGGCTTCTAACTTTGCAAAAAACCTCCGAAGTCTGTTTAGCGGAGATGAGGGAGGGATGAGTGTGTGAACCGCATCTAGCGATGCTTC